GCGTGCAAATGTATAGCGTCGTGAAAATAGGGGCTACCAGCTAACAGATTGAATGCAATTTGATGGCTGTGCATCCCATTAGTTGCCAAACCCAGTAGCTGAGCTAAATATTGTTTTAATCTGTTATTAAAGCAGAAACTAACACCGACTATCGAGGTGTTCAGAAATTGTAAATAGCAGAAGTACACCTGGCGCATGCGCTTAGACACAAAACATATCATGTGTTTGATCGGGGATAAACCCAAAGTTCAAAGATGACATACCCTTATAATGTAAACCTGTATTGAGATGACCCACGTCTCTGATTGGTCAAAATCAACAAACAAAAATGGCGGATTTAAAATTTTCTAATAACGCTTCAAGTAATATTATGCTAATTTCTGGCGTGTTAACCAATATCGTAGCTTGTTATTTCACATCAAGATAAAGAAAGATGTAAGGAATATGCTAAAATCAATTAAAACATCACAACGACGCCTTAGATTCGAAAACTTATTGGTGAGAATTTGTGGAAAACGAAGGTGGTACGCAGGAGAAGTAATGTGTCAGTCATCACTAAAGCTCTGGGGCTTTCCCTCATCATACAACACATTTTAAGCTTGTTTGATCATGTGACAATGGCATAAAACGTCATGTGATGACTGTAAGTCGACAAACGGGTTGTTCGATATTGCAACTTCAAACTGATCGAATAATTTATGCAAATCAATAGGTAAATCTGGTAGCTGGTAGTCGCTCGCTATTTGCATTCGCAAATATAAGTTTTAATGATTGAATTTTGATTTTTGTGGGTATTTTAAAGGGTGTATTTTTGAATTTCCCACGGGCGAGCGCATTGCATAATATTTAATAAGTAATCCCTGAGGTATCACGAAGAAGAACAATGAGCCCATGCGTTGCAAATTACATGCTTATATGTTTTCATAATTCAACAAAAGCACTACATTCAAGCGCACTTAAAGGAACAACAAGGCATGTAGAGAGAAAATGAGATTTTTTCTGAGCTATCAAGGCAACATTTGACTTAACATATTCTTTGGCATACTTATTTTTTTAAATGTATGGATAAACTATCGATTTCAGCATTAAGAAGTGTAAATTAAGTTCAAAGCTTCAAAAAGGAGGTATCCACTTTTATATTTTTGTTCTTTTTCTTTACACCTGGGGGAAATCTCATTGCCTATTGTGCAATGCACCACTGTTGTGGCCAATTCAAAACGCAGTTAACAACCCTGGCTTATAAGGTAAATGTAATGATTAGTGATATCATATTTAAGGAGAAGATACATGTACTCCTAAAGTTTTACCTGGTTAATAAATGTACAAAGTAAGAATGATTTATGTCTAAAAGGATGTATTTATTTATTAAAATATATTAATCAGTGTTAACTACAGTCGTATTAATGAATGTGAATTAATAAATGGTTATCATATCAAACAAGTATAAAATACAATATATGAATAAGTCATCCTTTATGGATTGGGTTATAGGAATGATGAATGAATGAAGGTAAAGTCAATTGACATCCTAAGTGGGAGTATGTTACCTGACGAAGTAATTATAATTATTAATATAGGGATGTAAATAAACTAAGTATTTGTCACCCTTTATGGATGAGCATACTTGAACTACGTTTTTGTCATCCTTTATGGATGTGCATAAATGGACCAAGTATTTGTCATCCTTTATGGATGAGCATTAATGGACTAAGTATTTGTCATCCTTTATGGATGAGCATTAATGGACTAAGTATTTGTCATCCTTTATGGATGAGCATAAATATGGCCTAAGTATTTGTCACCCTTTATGGATGAGCATAAATATGGCCTAAGTATTTGTCACCCTTTATGGATGAGCATGAATGGACTAAGTATTTGTCATCCTTTATGGATGAGCATGAATGGACTAAGTATTTGTCATCCTTTATGGATGAGCATTAATGGACTAAGTATTTGTCATCCTTTATGGATGAGCATTAATGGACTAAGTATTTGTCATCCTTTATGGATGTGCATAAATGGACTAAGTATTTCTCACCCTTCACGGATGAGCATTAATGGACTAAGTATTTGTCATCCTTTATGGATGAACATAAATGAACTAAGTGTTTGTCATCCTTTATGGATGAGCATTAATGGACTAAGTATTTGTCATCCTTTATGGATGAGCGTTAATGGACTAAGTATTTATCATCCCTAATTGATGAGCATAAATGGACTAAGTATTTGTCATCCCTAATGGATGAGCATACGTGAACTAAGTATTTTCATCCTTAATGGACTAAGTAAAATATATACATGTCCTCCCTAATGGATGAACATTAGTGAAATATATACACGTCATCCTTAAAGTGTGCGCCAAAGCTCTCGCTAAAATATATAAAGAGATTACCAGGTACACGATTCAGAGGTAAGTCAGGAAGGCGAACGATCTTCGTCTCGTGATGATTTCCCATATAATCGTAACCAGGGAAGTTTCACCATTGAAATTGAAAATTACTATTAGATATACTTTGTAGATGTTATTTATGAAGCTATTTAGTGTTTGCATCAATCAAATGGCTCATTTTGAACATATAAAAAGTATTTGTGTTTTGTTTCCCAGGGAATTGTATTGTGTGTATGTAGTACACACATAAATAGTGTACATTATACAGTACTTGAATAGCCTGGTTTACATAATATTGAAGGGCATGCTGATTACATGCACACGAGTACATGAATGAAGGCCTAATATTGATATACGTAGCTTGCATACCTAAATAAAAAATAAACTCTTCTAATCCCCTAATTGTATTGTATATTTATTGCCTCATTTATATGAGAGAATACATTTTAGTATACATATGGTTTACATATAAAATATAAAATACAAGGATAAGATTAAATTATGTGATAAAAAAGTTGTTGTTTTGGAAAACATAAAAATAAAGTGATAGAGAAATTATGTGTCAAGCAGAGCCAACAGGTTGGCTCTGTGATTGTACATTTTGTGTACACATGATGATACAATTATTAACGTCTCACATGAAACATCTGAGAGACCTAAAACTTTCTTCATAATAACACCCATATTGTCACCACGACAGCCAAGGGCTTCAAATATGTTATGCCTATATGGTTCATACATAGGGCATCTTAATATAAAATGTTCAATTGTTTCAGTTTCACAGAGGTTACACAATATACATCGTTTTGAACCATTGAAGTTGTTCGTATTTAATACATGGGCGTTACATATCAATTGCATCATAGTTTTACACTGGCTTTGACATTTAGGATATTTCTGACAAATCAACCACCATATGCAAGGTTTTAAGTCTGTGACATAGTCACGTAGGTATAAAAGTTTGCCATAACATGAGCATTGCAAGAAAAATTGCTTGACCTCGACGGATCTTACAGCATTGACAATTTGCAGTCTCCATGACCTCTTCGACGGAAGATATCCAGAGTCCAGCACATTTTTAACCAGATTTTCAATTCCTAGCATTTTGGTCTTAAGGAAAATGCGCCGGATAGGAGAGAAAATATCGGCATGGTTGTCATAAGTGACATGAAACATCTTTACTAACCGTGTTATAGTTATATCCCTGTAAATATTATTAAACCTAAGTAAACTCCAGAGATACATCATCTGCAACACTGTAATATAGCCGTCTATTGACAACCATCCCAACGGCATCGTTGCACTAGGATTGGCTGAGGTTTTGGGGAAAAATTGGATACGTTTGCCAATCTCCCTATGAGTCAATTCAAGCTTTTCAACATCTGACGCTTGGTAATTTATAACTGGTGCCCCAAACAGCATGGTTGGAATAGAAAAGGCCCAGTACAGTTTTGATGCTGTTAAGGGTGACAAACCACCTGTTTTGTGCCCCAGTCCCAAAAGTGAGCAGAATTTTCGCTTACCACTAGTGCAGCGATCATTAACATATTGTGAGATATCATTTTTACTAGATATTGGAATACCAACATGAACAGTGAAATTGACCTTTGGAATTCTCGTGTCACCTATCTTGAGAACGACATGACCTTTAACACTTGAATCAGTGACCATATCATTAAATGTCAGAAAGTTACATTTCGCTGGATGGATTTCATATCGCCATTTTCTACTATGTTCAAAGGCAGCGTTTAACATAAGTTGCATATCCTTTTGATTTGTGGCAATAATGGTCATGTCATCCGCATAAGAAGGACATACACAATTTACATCATCAATGTGGCCACCTATATTCATTTCACATAGATCCTGAATAAGGTCAGCCATGTACAACTGATAAAATAGCATAGATAGGACACCCCCTTGGTGGACGCCCTGCATGACATTAAAAGGTTTAGAAAGTGTATTTGAACTTCCTACACGAACGGCACATTCATATTTATGGTAATTATCATAAAGCATACGCCACAGTTTGCCATGGATACCAAGTTTATGTAGTTTGACCATCAACCCATCTAACCAAACGGTGTCAAATGCTTTTCTAATATCTAATGTGGCTAATATTACATTTCTATGCTTTTCGACATTGTGGGCAATGGTTTCCTGAACTAAAAGGGAAGTATGAACAGCAGAGCAATGACTCTGAGAAGCACCTTGTAAGTTAGGCATAATATTTTTTGCAAGGGATCCAATTCTTTTTAACACAATATGATCGTACACTTTACGCAACATGTTCATCAGAGTGATGCCTCTGGAATTGTCTTTATTACAAGGATCTTTATTTCCTGCCTTTAGTATAGGTATCAGTATACCAAACCTAAAATTCATGGGAGTGTATTCGTTTAACATGGTTGCATTAAAAAGGGTACATATGATCGAAATTACAGTGTCATTGCTATATTTTAAATGTTCGGCACATATCGTATCCGATCCACATGCACGATTATTATGCAACCGTGATATGGCATTACTCACTTCACTATCCTGAAAAGGTTCATCAAAGAAAGTATTAACTTCAAAATATGATGTTTGCTTAATATACATAATTTCATTTTCAATTTCACACTTGGCATGGCTGTGAAAATGAGGCTTATCAGAAGGGGTTGCCAAACGAGCAAAGTGAGTGCGCCATTCATCCCTTATTCCAGCCTCGTCACTTACGATGACGTCATTATCAGATTTAATTGGAGACAGACGCCTAGAAGCCCTATTTCGGCTCTTATTGAGAAGATGCCAATAGTAACGCTGATCAAGTGATTCTGACCTGTATAGACGATTAAGCTCATTTTGTTCATACATAAACTCACTACATCTAAAACATTTTCTAAAAGCACATTTGGCAGATTTATATTGGGCCCTAATTACATTATCCGCATTTCGAGGTCGACCAGCCGACACCCACTCACGCCATCTTTTCTTCTTTAACTTTACTAATCTGGTTAATTCATCATTCCAGAATGGCTTTACATGCTTTGAGAACTTCTTAATGGGGATATGTGCATTAGAGCATTCAATCAGGCCATTTACCAGTTTCAAGATATAACTATCAATTTGGCAGTTTTCCAAATTATTTACACCAATTAACCGTAAATCATTCAGAATGCCCTTACATTGCAAATCAAGAGATGATGTGTACGTTGATTTAATTTCATCGGATGATAATTTATTCCACGCATATCCAACACAATCATTTCTTTGAATTACATGCTTAACACTAGTGAGGTCTCTAAAAGTCGTGATTATGGGGAGATGGTCTGACGTGTTGCCAGGCTCATTGTCTAATATAACACATTCGGAAACATTACCGCATAGAGGAAGGGACACAATAATATGATCAATATATGACCTATAGTAATTACCATTTCTCAACATTTCAAATGTATGCACAGGACCCAAAGTAGCTCTGTTTGTATCAACTGCCCATAGCTCATTACTCAGGCAAAAATTGTGCAATTCTATGCCACTCTGCGTCTGTGTATCCCCTACACCATGTGATCCCTGTAAAGTACCTAAATTTGCATTCACATCGCCAAATATCACAACATTACCATCATTAGATATACGCTCAACAAAATCATTCAAAATATCCAAAGTTTCAGTAAAAGTGGTATGATGACAATTTTGCTGTGGCAGATACACAGAAAATATAAATAATGCAGAATCATCAAACACTAATTTAACACATAAAATCCTATCCGAGCACAGCTCTAGCATAGGCACGACCATATGGTCTAAGGATCTTCGCCAAAAAATGGCTGTACCGCCACTGCCCCAAACAGTCCCACATTGCATAGGATCCAAAATACTACTGCTTTTAGCCAAACATACAAAATCATTTGACAAATCATCTAACTTGTGGAGATTACATTCGTAGAGTTTATGTTCGCTTAGTGCGAAAAAATCACATTTCGCCAAAATGTCCAATATATAGCGGTTAGAGGCCCCAAGACCTCTACAGTTCCATTGCCCAAATCGTAATTTGTTCTCATGAGGTGACATTGTTAATGATAACACGGAGTGAAATTCTGCGCTCGGGGCTGATGTGCAAATGTGTAGTGTCACAACAAGTAATAGGAAAGTGTAAGAATTTATCATTGTTTTATTATAGGCCATTATTATCATATTCATACCAATCAATCTGTGACTTGTAGGCGTCATTCATCCTGTCTAGGTTGTCGATTCCACAGTCATAGTCGGACTGATCATCGGCATGGGTAGCCTGTCGTCGGTATCCAGTTATAACTGGAATCGGTTTTTCTCGTCGCATGGCTGCTCTAGGTGCCCGTCGTTCCCAGCGCCTGCAGACTATTGATGGGTCGGGCCAAAATTTTTCTGATAGTAAAACATGTACATCAGTCTCGGGAACGCAAAGTTTGCATCCCACTTTGTCGTCGCAGAATTTATTCTTCACAATCTCAGCACGCATTACACGCACCCCAGAGTTACGAGCGTGCTGCACGACTGCATCGCGTAATGAGACATCAGATACATCAGGTTCCATCCTCAGGTTATTCACATATACAAACGATCCCCGTACATCTTTTACTCCACGGAGTTTCACAATTCCTTTTGCAGCAGTCGGGGCGTTGGATTGTATTGTCTTTTTATGATGGTTTACAACAGTCCATTGCGCCTTAGAGGCTGCAGCAGCATATGTAGATAAAGTGCGGGCTTTGGGTTCTGATTCTAATTTATCCCTCGCGACATACTCAGATAGACCCTTTTTAAAGGGTATGTCAGTTTCAGTGTCAGATGAACGTCCTTCATGTGACTTGCCGTTGCGGCAAATACGATCCATATGCGTGGCAAAGGTGGAGCTTTTCAAAGCACTTGGAGTTGAGGCATTTAGAACATTTTTATTTAGAGGTCTCAACGAATGCCCATTTGTAGTGTTTATGCATGGTCCAGGTTGCGCCTTTACAGGGGCGGACTTACCATCAGATATCTTTGATGAGGTATTAATGCGGCTCTCCGCCATTTCAGTTTCGCACGGGTGTTGATCAGATAAATCCAGAGTAATGTCCCTTGCTATTGAACTTTCACTCAAAGCCCGTCTGTGCATGGCATTGTTTTGATTCATACCGAGGTCAACAGGTGCACGGTTAGTTTCACATACAGATACACTGGTCTTAGAGCCAGAATTAACTTGATTAGCTTCGTTTTGGCCATTTGAAATGGTTCTACATGTGCACAGTTTTATATGTGTTGATACCAAGTTGTTCATATCGTGCAATTCCTTACGTATAGTATTCAATTCCTTTTTGTATTCTTTATTCTCCCTCTCTAAATCCGCCACCCTCGTCGTCAATTTCACCAGTCTGGTATCCAAATCAATAGATCTGTAATCCGGGGTGGGAGGTTCAGTGGGCTTCGCTGTATCAGGGATAGTTGGAACGAACGAAGAATCACTTAGGATTGATCTCGGAAATGCCCGATTTTCATTTTGGGTAGTAGGCTTGTTTAAATATAAATACATATCACAAATATCACTTGCCATACGCTCTGATTTATCGGTCTTGTTACGACGTAGTTTCAGCTTAAGCTTTCGGGGTATTTGTCCCGGCGTGCGGTTTTCAATAGGTCCAAAACATTCATTGTATTCCGATTCAAGATATCCTACAGCTTTTTCGAACATTACAATCCTCAGATTCTCGATCTGGTCCACATCTAACTGGGCACAAAGTTCCTCAATGGTATCATTTTTGGAATTATCCAATCCTTGCTCCATAATACGCTCAATAGCGTCCATATTTTCGGAAGATATTATCAAATCCGTGAAAGATTTTTCATGTGCGGCCATCTTGGTCACGTAATGTAATGTAATGTAAACACGGCGGTATACGTAGCCCGATTTATCGGGGACTTTAATGGATGATCAAAAGTGAAATATGTACATGTCACCCTTAATGGATGAGCATAAGTGGAATATAAACATGTTGTCCTAAATGGGTGACCATAAAATGAATAAAGTACGATTCATTTTTATAAACACTAATGCATGTTGATTAGAAATGTGTTTAACTTCAGTACTATATGAATATGTCAAAAATACTAGACTTGAAATTATAGCAGTTACATCGGAGTTTTCTAAAAGTATCAAGTTTTCTCAATAGGTGGCCAACAAAAATGGTGGAGTAATTTAGCCAATAGATGGCTATTATAAAAATGGCGGAAATAGAAATTTTACCAAATTTACTTTGCAAAAGGACTAAGCTTAATAAAAATGGCGGGAACTTGAAATGATCCCATATTTAACCAAATAGATGGCTCATAAAAATGGCGGGAATAGAAATTGTGCCAAATTTACCTTGCAAAATGACTGATAAAAATGAGTGATAAAAATAGCGGGAACTTGAAATGATCCCATATTTTATCCAATAGATAACTAATAAAAGTGGAAAGAACTTTTATTGAGTAACCTTAAAACGTAGTTTGGGAAAATAATTTATACATCCTGTGGAGTATGACAAAATATTGCCCCAAATTGTTCAATAATGAGTACACATAATGAATGAAAGGTTTCTTTCAAGAAAATATGACGGGAGCAATTTGACTATCCAAAGCCGAGTGAATTCCATTTCCAATGTTAGAGATTCTCCCCTTAAAACATGATCGGCATTTCCCGCCAACACGATAGCACTTCCCGCTAAACAGGTAACGTTTACTGCAGAATATTCTCCATTGCCCGCCAAAAGGGTTGAATTTCCTTCCAAAATGATAGATTATAAGTATGAATTGTATAAAAAGTTGAAGTGAAATTACCTTCTATTTATGAGATTAATTGTGAATGGAAAGGGAAGTGCACCTGCAACGTGGCATTCCAAAGTTATAGAAATGTGAGTAAAATATTGGCTTCGTAAAAATGAATGTAAATTGAAAAGGTAAACTCAAAATACTGGAAATTCCGATGAAAGTTGATCAATGAGTTCCAATTAAAATATATGACCATAAATCTAGGTTGGCAATAAAATGAAAACAACTATGAAGCCAAATGAAGTAAGCAAGTGTGTAAGTATTTACCCAAGTCTCAGCTGTAGATGTTGAAGAAGCCATTGGAACACTTCATTCCCTTGCCACGTCGCAAAAGTACTACCCAGAACTATATTGGCGCGCTTACGATCACGTGATTTGGAATCTCGAACCTCGCGAGATCCAAACGTGACCGGAAGTATCGAGCCAAAAATTGGTAAAACATTAGTTTCAGCTCAGGGGGGGGGGGATCTCCCAAAGTTCAGCCTTCGTATTCGATCACGCGGTACTCACGTGCTAGATCCATATAAGGCTTATATGACCATATAGGAATCCAACTGACCGTTGTCCGCCATTTTGAATATCATGTGACAGATCAGATAAGGTTTGTATGACCATGGAAGTTGTCCGCCATTTTGAATATCATGGTATGAGGTTCCATATCCATCCGCCCTATATAGTCCATTTAAAAACCTGTAGTATTGTTCTAAATATCACCATAGTTGGCTTCTAGGACTTCTAGGGTACCTAGTATGCCACTATTTGGTATCAAAATAAAGAGGAGGAGTTCAACTTTCATTTAAATTACGATGTAGCGATGTAGGTCAAAAATAGTTCCGACGTGAGCATGTTTACTACGCGTTTGCCCATCATCTCAGAATTAAGGAAATGGTAGCAAACGCGAGTTACAATAAATTGACGCTGATATCTCAAAAAGTAACCCGACTCCCTATAATTTGATGTAGATCAATCGAACCCCTATATGAACAGGTACATTTTGAAATATAACACTATGTGCAAAGTATTGATATGAATTTTCTAATTTGGAGTTCGATTACGGTACTCCTACCTCATGTGATAGATCCATATAAGGTTTGTATGACCATATAGGATGGCTAAGGGGAATCCCCGAATACGAAAGAATATGATAGTATTATGGGAGCTACTCACTTCTTCTGTTTCAGCTGAGACTAACATAATTTAATACATGGTCAATGGAAGGCTTCCAATTCCTTTGATGTTAGTCTCAGGTTTCAGCAAGGGCGAACGTAATACCCGGAAAGTTCGCAAATTGGTTCGGCTTTTTACCGTTCGATTTTTTTACCGCATCCGATTTGAATTAGCCAATAAACATACAGATATTAGGGGTGTGAAAACTTGAAATTTTTTCTGATGATGTGTCTAACCCCAAAAGTCCAGAGTTGAATATATCAGCATATGTTGATGATTGGTAAGTAAATCAATCTATCCCCGGGAATCTATCCTTATAACGCAGGCCCGTAACTACTAACTAGAAGGGTAGCTGGGGGAGCGGAAGCTCCCCCCTGGCCAGAAATTCTTTTAAAATCATGCAGTTGTTCACCATTCTGAAAAATTTTCGCATGATTTTTAGACAAAATTGTGAAAAAGCTCCCCCCCTGGAAAAAAGCTCCCCCTCCTGGTAAAAGCTGGCTACGGGCAAGTAACGTAACATATTTCTATAGTTGAGTGAATTTCGGTCACGAACCGTTCGGAAACAACAGTTTAAACGAAGATTGTCCGCGTCCGTTTTGATTGCGCTAACGAGAAACAAACGGGGTCTTGTCATTTGCATAATCAGGTCACCTTATACTGCGCAAAAGAGCTGGGTAAGGGGGGTAATACTGACTGGCAGAAAACGCAATCGCCACTTCCGAGTACATTTCCTCTGTTTACCCAGGCTTTACAAAAGTTAATGGTTTCAAATTCAATAATTTTTAATGATCCTCTTATTGAAATAACACAGGTGGTTCAGTGAGGTGGTCAAAATTACTTTAACGCTCCGTATCGCTAATTTTAACAACATAAGCGAGACATTTAGCATGTAAAATGTAAAATCAATCAATTTAACAAATATTTTACTGAATAGATATTCCAAAATCTGAGTTGCCCCTAAGCCACCATTCCCCATTTGTTTAACATGGGATCTGCCATTTTTGTTAAATTTCATGAAATTCATCAATTTTGACATCAAATTTTGACCCAATGTAATGGAGATATAACATTGAAACGTTGCGGACTTAATAGGGAATAGAATCAAGATACAGATTTATTTACTTTATCGGGATTTCTTTTTGTTCCCCGCTTAGAAAATAGTCGTTCAAACAAATATGGGGGTTAACATGTAAACCTATGAGGAAAAACACTGGTCCTTAACTTTTTTTGAGGAGTATAGAAACAGATTATTTGAATATTGTCGGGATTTTTCATGAAAATCTGAGTTCAAGACACTAACTTCGGAATATCTTGATAACAAATCGAGGGTTTTTATCAAAAAAATGGAGGGATTTAGGTAAATATCAGAAAGACCACTAAATCGGGATTTGACAGGAAATATGTAAACGTCAAAAATATAGTTTATGAGGACTTATGAGTCTCCACTCATTACTTTTGAAAGGCGGCCATCTTGAAAAAATGTCCTTGTGTAAAACTATTTGCCCGGAAGGACACTGATGGAATGGTTCACTATATCTCTATTCCTATAGTAAAGTAGTAATAGTAAGATTCATAATTCTGTTAACAACTTGGAATCTAAAAATTGAACAATCAAAGGACGATATTGCAACAGTACTACTATGAAAAGTAGAATCAGAAATGCAAGGCCTAACTTTTGTATATTTCAGACAGTTATTTATAATGTGAAGCAAAGCTGTAGCCTTTTATGATTTTCTACCCTTTGCATTCGCTTGACTTTACTTAAAAGAGAGCTTCGTCTGTAGTTTAACTAGACTCTGCACGCAGGGTAGGGATTTTCAGCCATGTCAATCTTTCTGAAAATAGCATGGCAGAGAAGCAAGAAAATTTAGAGGCCACACATATGATAGCCAAACTACAATTATACAAAAGTTAGGCCAGTTGTGCATAATAAATATGTTTTTTTCATATAACATGATTGCATTGTGGTCCAATGATTGATTTTTTAGATTCAAAGTTTGTTACGGAATTATGAATCGGACTACAGTAAAATTTGAAATGTTTGGAACCTAAAGTTCATGTCAATGCATTTGGAATGAGTAGTTTTGCTATAATTTGCATTATAATTGTTTATTCACAAACATGGCATTGAATAATGGATATTGCATCATGAATCCCGGTGTAAAAGGGTAGAAGGTATATTAATTTATGGTCCTACTCTCCATTGATTTATATGGTGACCTCTTTGTGCTCTTTCCCTTATTATCTAATACACAATCAGGGCCAGTAAGGGCCTTTAAAAGGGGGACCATAATCCCTGGGGGACCATAATTTCTTTCACACCGGGACAATGAATCTCGGATCCTGTACGTCATTATAGTCAAAACAGTAATGTTTGTGAGTACTTTGAATTTAAAAAATAAGCAATCAAATGACCATATTGAAACAGTTTATGTAAAAAAAGTAACATTTATATTTAACCTAACTTTTGTATGTTTCAGGTAGTAATGTATAATGTGCAGCAAAGCTGTGGCCTTTTGTAATTTAGGGAGTTTCAGCTTTGTTAATTTTCGCGAAAATAACATGGCAGAGAAGTATCAAAATATAAGAGGACACAGATATGATAGCTAAACTAGAAAACAAACTAAAATAAACAAAAGTTAGGATAAATATAAATGTTTCTATTTTTACATAAACTGTTTCAATATGGTCATTTGATTGCTATTTTTAAATTCAAAGTACTCACAAACATTACTGTTTTGACTGTAAGGCCAGGGTGCATGTTGGGAAATTTTCAGCATTACTCAATTGAGTCACATGTTATTTTTCAAACGAGAATCAATCCTTCCCCACATTATCTACATCTTCCAGTTTTACACAAAGAGCATGTACAGTATGTACCTAGAAAAGACTTGTGAGAAGATTTGTTTGGTATATTGTATAAAAAACGAAAAAAATCAGTGAAAAAAATTCTGAA